TTTTTGCTTTTGAGAAACCTGAAAAAGATGATCCTGCTTATAATCTAGCCCAAACCAAAATGATTGCATAATGTAGATTTGCCACAACTAACTCTGTCTCACATTGTAAATACAATGAACTGAAGCTAACAGAGTTATAGCAAGGAGGCACATAGAATTTGGGAGAAACAGTTTACAGCTTCTCAAAGGCTGTTGGTACAATTCATTGTGAAATAACACTGCATAATTCATAACAAAAATGACCCTGAATAGTGACAGAAAAAAATAATAAACATGCCTAATGCTTAAAAAATTGCTGAAGACAGAAATAACCGCCGTAATAACTTGAAGATGATTTTGAACCAGCCTCTAATGGTAAACACAACAATCTCTCTGCTGTCACACAAATACTTCCTTGCCATAGTAACATTTGAATGGAGCGTACCTGTAAAATGTTTCCATTTTTAAAATGAAATAGAAATGTTTCTTTAACGCCCACATTTGGTCTTATTAAGCTACTAAGGAGAAAATACATTAGACAGTATGGGACTAAGTTTTCTGTCAATGTGTTTATTCCTCTAAAATTCTGAAGGCCTGAATATTGAATATGATTAGAACTTCGACAGCAGTGCAAAACAATTCCAATGGTCCAAGTGAATGTAAATAAAGAATTAAAGTATCTTAGAAAATTGCTTTCTGCCTCAGTTAAATAGGGTTTGCAGGATAGGCAGGATATCTTTAATAATACAGAGGCATCTTGAAAAATGTGCCATAATTCTTCATTGCTCTTCCTAAGAACAGATGGAAAGCTTTCGGGAAATTCTCCCTTCCCCTCCCCTCCCTTCCCCTCTCCTCCCCTCTCCTTTCCTCTCCTTCATCTGTCTAGGTCTAGCTCTGTTGCCCAGGCTGGAATATAGTAGCACAATCAGAGCTCACTGCAGTGTGTAACTTCTGGGCTTCAATGATTCTCCTGCCTCAGCCTCCTGAGTAGCAGGGACTACAGGTGTGGGCCACCACCACCTGGCTAATTTTTTAAACTTTTTGTAGAGATGGGGTCTTGCTATGTTGCCCAGGGTGATCTCAAACTCCTGGTCTCAAGTAATTCTCCTACCTCGAACTCCCAAAGTGCTGGGATTGCAGGTGGGAATCACTGCACCTGACCCTGAAAAGGCCAATTTTCAATCTGAAATGATGGGATGAAAGGGATGACAATAATCAGGCCCACTTGCTAATAATATTCTGCTTGCTGGAGCCTATAATTTCTCTGGGAGGAGCAGGGCTCACATTTTCCCTACACTGTTGCTGTAGCAGTTTGAGTATCTTGAGGGGGCAACTAGTGAGAAAGCACCTATCAACTTGGAGGAAAAGAATTCCTTGTGGAGTTAACCGCTTCATCTTTTAACTTGATATAACTATCAAATGTTGCTTCAAGACCAAATAGTTTGTACAGTGAATGATTAACTTATCTTTTTCTCCAAAGGCTGATAAAGATAAAAATTAGGTTAAGAAAAGCAGGCATAAATTCATAGACAGATAAAAGATTGTTGACTGACATCTTAAACTTCTGATTTTACATTGTCTCTTACTAAACATTCCTTGGAAATATGCATGCCAGGTACTTAGAAACTGTGGCTCAATGGCCATAGTATCTAAGTTGCTATTTATTACTTAACTTATGCTATGCTATAACTGAAAGAGGTAACTCAGTTGTAGATAGAAATATACTTAAAAATCAAACAAAACATGCTCAACATATTACATTTTGAAAAGCAATACCAGAACAATTAATTAGCTCAAAAGAAGTCATAAGATTTTTCTGGATCACTCATCCAAGCTCCTCATTTATACACATAATCATCTAGATATGTAACATTCTAATAAACTAAATATTGCTGATTTGTATAAAATAATTCCTTTACAAATAATCATATCTTCAGCTAATACCTACCACAATTTTGTTATTGATTATAATGTAAAATGAAAAGAGATTATGCATTTTAGGGGGAAAAAAAAAGGACAAAGTATTCCTTTCCTCCAAGTGCTTGACTCTTTTTATAGCATCCCAAATTATAATCAACCTTCTTTCATGTCTGCCGTGATTAGAAAATGTTTCTGGTCATCCTGGATCAAAGTAAGTGCAACAAAAACTTCATCAGCGTTTACTGTGTCCCTACAGTGTGCCAGCTTCCAGCTTCCTGGTTTTTACCTGGGGTACCCAAGGTAAAAACACAGTCAGCTCCTGGGTTAGAGGCATGTGGTAACAAAAAATTGAAACATGATAAAGGCTATAAAAGGGGATGGACACATGATTTCCACTTGTAGAGAGAGGAAGAGAGGAGGGCCCTGTGAATGCCAAAAGCACATTCCCCTGGAAAGAAGAAAAAGGCTACAAGGCATTGAGGTCACAACTAGGAAATTAGAATTAGCTAATATAGCTAAGCACATATTGACCTTATGCCTGTCATATATTTCTGGAAATATTTTTCTAATCTGTGGATTCATACATATACAATAAAGGTTTTAAAGAGTTTTAAGTAGATTTGCCAAAATTTACCTTCCTGTTGAGTTTGTCTAAGTCATAGGCAGTATTTTATTATCATAAACAATGTGGCAATAAACTTGTTTATCCATTTTTCCATTTTAAATTATTTCCTTATGATTCACTCTTGGAAGAGAATTAATACGTCAAAGGATGTAAATATTTTAATAGCTATTGATAAATATTTGGTATTGTTTCTGTAAACCATGCATGTTTAAATAACTCTCTCCCATCTAGTCTCTACATTATTTGAGACTAGGGACTATGCTTTTACATTAATGGACCAGAATGTAGTACATTGCTTCATACATGACAGATACCCAATAAAACTAAACAATCGTGGCTAACTGATAGTTTCCACCAACTATCCATTCTTTCCCCTTTTAAGAGCATGATTTGTATTTTAAATAATGTAGCAAAAACCCATCTTGAAAGTGACTTCTTTCAGCCTCCCATGAAAACTATGCATAGCTACTGGTAGCTGTGAAATTAAATCCTGATGATTAGCATTATGCAGGATTTTCAGGGAAGCTCCTAAAGGAAGATGGCCTGGTTGGCATATTTCCCTATTGCATTTCCTAGGATCATCTTTCGTGCTGCATGGACTGTAGAGGTGATAGCTAGAGCTCCAGCAGCCACCTTATGCAATGAGGTAATTCTGAAGACAGAATATGAGTACTAGGATAATGAAGCAAAAATGAGAAGGTGCTTAGATTCCTAACCACAGTTACACCACCTCCCCTTGAATTCCAGCCTCAGGGCTTATTTTATATAAGAGAGGAATAAACATTTATTTTACTTACACTCATTTTATTTCTGAGGTTAATTTCTAACAGCTAAACTAGCTAATGATAAAATAATTTTGAATGAACTAAATAACTAGTCAAAAATGTCAAATAAAAATATAATATAGCATTTGACGTCAACCTTGAGTATATATATATATTTTTAAATTTTAGAACTTAATCATTTTATAAATTAAAAATGCCACCTCATATGTTAAAAGTCACAGTCATTTTATTAGTAGGAATGTTCATTTTAGTACTGTATTTAATACATGGTGAAGAAACCATTCATCTCTTGGCAGCTTATTTTTTTGAATCTTAGAACTTTGTTAGGAGTTTTTATGAACACTTCAAATGATATGAATGTACTGTGAAAAGTAAACCATGATATCACATCAATTTCTTCTCATGCGTTTTCATGCATATTTGGGAAATCTGTTGTTTTTCAACATTTTATATTTGTATATTTCCTTCTAATTTTCTTTGTAATTCTTCAGAGAAGATATATTCATCACCCCTACAGAGAACTGGCAAATATTCACATTTATTTACACTCATTTCCCTAAGATCACATTTTGAAATTTGAATCCACCTGAAATTGAATTTTGTCAATTGTTTCTCTGAATTAAATTATTTTCACTTAATTTTAAAGTGTCTTCATATATTAAATATATCAAATAACCAGATCTTGAATCCTGGGTCTCACTAACAAATTTCTTAACTTGAATATATTTGAATTTCTCATCTGTAATATTGGGAAAAGTTTAAGGATAAACTGGGATTACACATGTCAAGTGCCAGCACTGTGCCTAGTTCATACCCTCTGGTTTCATACAGTCCCTTTCCTACCAACTGAGCATTTTAGTGCATTCATGAAAAATAAGTTGAAATCAGTTATATTAGCTAAACATTACTTCAATTTGTTATTTCTGGATTGTTTCTAAAATTTCAAATAAGATTGGATTTCAAAACTTACATCTTTAATTTGTACTTTACTGAGGTGCATGTCATATAGTTTTTTGGTTTTCCAATCAAGTTATATGTTCTTTATTTTTACGGAGGGAAGCAGGTTTCACTACAGTCACAGTGGTACAAGAATGGAACAAATAAGTGCATAGTTAATTCTCTTCCTACTAGGTAAGCTTTCCCACTGTTGTCCAAAATATTTGGATGTGATTTATGCCTATTCCCGGGAAATTGGCAAGGTTTGCTGGACTCTGAATTTAGTGGAAACATTTAACTGAAGAAAGCTTCTGAGAGGTAAAACATTCATTTTTTTTGCATTTAGTTCCCAAATGGAGACAAATAGCTTAAAAGCAATATTAACCTCTATGTGCTTGGGCTATTTATCTTCATATGGAACAGCCTGAAAACAAGAAAACAAAGCCCATAAAAATGATTTTATTTAATCACACAAGTATATCTCACCAAAAATCTTTAGTTATTTCCTTAGGGCTTAATTCTAAGATCAGTAACTCATGCACAAATTCTATGGATGTCAGGGGGAACTGCGGATGTGGAACTCTGTGCCAAATTTGGTTGTCAGGGATGAATTAGTCAAAGAGGGCATTCGATCAATTTTTTAAAACACAAAGTACTCCCATTCTGTAATCCTTTTCCATCTTCCCAAATGTATTGACCTAATCCAGTAATAATTATTGAATCTCCATAATATACATCAAACCACAATTTCATGCATGCATCATAGAGTCACTGGCCTTAAAACATTTACCTTTCCACATAAATGTTAATAATCTTGCAGCAATATTTCATCCTAGCAAGAAGAGAGTTTTGTGGCATACCTTGTGACAAGGTCAATTTCACTTAAGGAAAAATGCTAACATTTTAAAAGTCAGCCATTAAATAGGGGTTATTATTGCATTTTCCTTATCTTGTTACAGGAAAGTAATCTCATTTCACTAGTGTCCCAGTTATTTAAGTAGGTTAACAAATATTTATTCAAAGTCGAGATGTGTAAATGAAAAAATTTTTATCATCCTCTAGGTTCCAAAGAAATTGTGTTTAAGAAAATTTGCTTTTATAAATGTTTATCTAGACATTTTTAGCATGTAAAATTTTCCCTGTAAGATAAAATCTTCTTCAAATGGCATACAACTTCTTAGAATAAATACTGCTTCCCTCAGGGGCTAACCGAAGCTCTCTCTTTAGTGAGTAAACTTAAATTTCTTCTGTAACTTGAGCTGCAGATTGCAAATATTCAGAGAAACTGCCCTTGCAGCCTCAGAAGGGAGACTCTTAGTGACTCATTTACTTTGCCTGAAGTCATTTGCTATCCTTTTCCTCAAGTGCAGTGCAAGAGGCATCCACAGACACTGTGGGAGATTCGATTATCCTCAAATTGTAGTGAGCCATAACAATGTTTCGGAGACTTTTAAAAAGGAAGATTCCCAGGCTTTGCCCTCCTTCACCTTTAGTTACCTGGTCTGGTGTGGATGCTGCATTTTTACCAAGCCCTCCAGGCGGTTCTCATGCTATTCATTCACAGATCACATCCATGAACACTGGGAGCAAGAAAGTGAAAGCTAAGTTGGCAAGGAAGAGGGTGGTGTGAATTACAAGGTCAAGACTGCTGTGTGACAAGTACGGCTTGCATCAACTTGACAAATGCAGAGAACGTTTATTGTTAAGGGAGCCTACTAACAACACCTGGCTTCTAGAAGCCTCTCCATAATTGGGAATTAAACCAAATGCCACTATTTATCAACACTGCCTTGTTGTGCCAATATTACCACTCTGATATTAATAGTACCTGTTATGCTACTCATAGCACTGCTATTTATGACTACTCTGGGCTGATCTGTGTCAGCCTAGAAAATCTCCTGTGTTGAAGTTCTAACCCTCAAAACCTCAGAATGTAACCATACTTGGCAATAGTGTCTTTAAAGAGGTGATGCAGTTAAAAGGGGGTCATTAAAGCGGGCCCTAATCCAACATGACTCCCATCCTTATAAGGTTTATGCATTTTATAAAGTTTAGAAAGACTTTTCTGAGAGTAAAAAGGGAAGCTATTAATAATCATATCAGGATGTACCAGGATAACAGGCATATATGAAGACTGTCTTGGCCAACTGGGAACTACATTCACCCTACCTATAAGGCATATGGTTGTACTATAAATATCTACCTAGGTTCTACTTCATGGCATTTGGCCAGAGGAAACAGAGCCCATCTGAAGATAAAATAAGGTAAAATAATACGGCCTTCATACTTCCTCCTTTCAACAGCATATTAGTTCATAATTATATTATTTTGCTGATATTTTTATTAATATAAAAATACATTTGGGGAATTTTCAGTAATGGCAGAGAGTAAAGTAGTGAGGCAAACCCTTTCACATCTCACCCTAGGAAATTAGGGTAACATTTCAACTGCTATTTAAAGGCCGTGGAAAGCATGCTGAAGTGGATGGATGTTGAAAAACTGCAACTGGAAAAGATAAGAATTGGGAATTTAAACTGTTCTTGCCAAAGCACCCTTCCAGTCCCCAGGATTATTGGGTAGAAAACCACACACAGGCTTACTACCTTGGCTTGAGATCATGTCAAAGAGAGTTCAGGGATGGAAAAGTATCTGGAAAGTATCTAAAACCAGGCAAAAGTCAATGAAGCTTTTCTCCCCCTTGAAAAGCTGTTACGGAAAGGGTAGGCATTTTGAATTTAGTTTTCTTAACCAAACATGCTTCCTACATGTAGCCTTTCTTAATTGGTTAAAAATGACAGAGAGAATGCAGTGTTGGAAAAGAAGCTGAAAGTTTAAGGGGGAGATTCTGGAAGTGAGAGGAAAAAAAGGAACAGATCCCTAAACCTGAATATAAACTCTGCTTAAACTTCGGGCAGCCTCTCAAACTCCATGTTTGCAGGGAAGACCTAACAGGGGCTGGGTAAGAAGTATAGGAGGCAGACTGACACCAGAGAGACGTTTATCTCTGAAATACTTTCTTTCACTGGGAGAAATTTTGTGAGTTTGCTGCATTTTAAATGAAAGGCATTCCCTAATCTGTGTACAGCTCAGATGGCAGGAAACCAGGTTTCTTGGATTGAGGTGTCAGAAGACAGAATTGGAAATTGGAGGAGAAACGAAAACTTAGGAGGATTTTCCAAAGGCAGGGAATCCATTGAGAGTGCGAATCACAAAATTTGAAGGTAAACTTTGCCCAAATGCTTGAATGATCACCAAACTCTACAGGCACAGGGAAGATTCACAGGGGACCAAACTGGATAAACAAACATGGTTTAAAATTTGAGCCCAGAGAAGTTAACCGCCTGTTTAAAACTAAATACTTAGACAAGCATCCTTTGTTGGTATGGCGAATGCACAGCCAATAATGAAACAAACACGAGGAAATGGGGATGGCCAGTGTGTGCCCCCGAAGATAGCCCAGGATGAGATAGCCTGCCCTCCCTGTCTTGCCTCTAAGTGCACTGTCTCTGGAGCAAAACACCTGCTTCACAATTTACCAGCTATTTGAACTTTAGGAAACTGCTTAACTTCTGTGCTCTGCTTTTTCATCTCTGAAAGGGTCATAACAGTACTTCCTGTTTTGGGCATTTGTGGGGATTAAACAAGTTAATACACACCAGGCATTTTTAAACAAAGTGCATCATGTTAGGTATTATGACAATTACGGTATTATTGAGGATGACGACAGTACAGTCCTTCAACACTTACATGCCATCCCAGGGTTAAGGAAGAGTGGCTGTAGGGAACGATCTTGAATTTATTAAAAACATTCTGAATTGGCTTTGATTATGCTAAATTGCAAAGTAACAGAATAGCAGCACAACACGTAGTTACATGGAAAAAAATTATATTTATCCTTGTACTGCTCTATTTGTTGGTTCTCATGTTGCTAATAAAGACATACCCTAGGCTGGGTAATTTATAAAGGAAAGAGTTTTAGTTGACTCACAGTTCCACAGGGCTGGGGAGGCCTTGGGAAACTTACGGTCACGGCAGAAGGGGAAGCAAACACGTCCTTCTTCACGTGGTGGAATGAAGGAGAAGAATGAGAGCCACAGAAGGGGGAAGACCCTTGTAAAGCCATCATACCTACTGAGGCTAACTCACTGTGATGAGAACAAAGTAGGGGAAACCACCCCTATGATTCAATTATCTCTACCTAGTCCCTCTCATGACACGTGTGGATTGTGGGAACTACAACTCAAGATGAGATTTGGGTGGAGACATAGCCAAACCATTTCAACAGCTGAATTAGATTTGTACTTACTGCTTACACACCCATATATATGCATGCTTGCACACACACTGATGTGTGCTGTTAGCTCACACAGGGTATACCGGATATCTTGCTTTTTTGGTCTATTTTATAAGTAGTTTAATTATAATTTTGGCTCTTTTAATCCAAAAATTCAGGAAGTGATTTTAAAATCTCTAACTTTTAAGCCTTTTTCTTTTCTTTTTATAAAAATAAATTTCTAATATTAGTGAATTCTTCTCAGGGAATACAGTTGACAAAACATGTGAAAATAGTTTCAATTCTACTTAGTTATTGTACGGTTAAACTTCTCATATAATTTTTAATTTTTTTCTTCCTTGTTCAGTTATGCACTCAAATTTTTGCTGCTACTTCCTTTGGATATCTTGCCTGTTAAACATACGGATAAAGTGATGAATAAAACTCAATTTCTCTTCTTAAAGATCTCATAGAGCACTAGAGATAAAGACAGACACCTTTTAAAGTAGAAATCATAGCAACATTTGATTCAGGCAGAGGGGTCAAGTAATAACATTAAATGCAGAGACATCAGTTGAAGAATTGCAAAGGTGGATACACCAGGGCTTCCAAAAAGAGGTGCTGCTCAAGCAGCATCTTAAAGAGTGGGAAGTCATTTTCTAACAGATAGTGGAGAAAGAAATTCTAGGAACAATGAAGAATATGTATCAGGTTAGAGTAGCATAAAGAATAAGGGAAATCCAGGGTATTGGAAGTCATTTCAAATTTTGAAGCATGGTGGAAGTAAGAAGATGAAATCTGATGGGAAACAGCTTCAGATTGTATTGTGATTTAGTTCATATGCAGCGAGAGCTTGAAATAAGGCCCTAAGGTGCACATTGAGAAAAAGGAATAGAGTGTCAGCATACCTGCAAGAGGACTGGGGGACTGGTTTGCAGTGCCAGGGTAGAGAATACAGTGTGGAAGAGTATGTGCAGCCTTGGGAAGGACAGGCATTTGGAGGGTCCCAGGCTTCCTCTGATTTCTGGTCCTGGTGGATCATGACTTTATCAATAGAGGTGACTTTTTATTTAATGAGAGAGTATAAACTGAGAAGGAGAAGGATAAATCGGTTCCTGTACACATGGACTTCAAACTCCCTGTGGGATAGCTCCATGGTGCTGTCAGTTGGGAGGCTAGGAATATGACTTTGGAACTCCAGGTTTGAATTCTGGGCTGGTAACCTGTGCTTGGAAAAGACTGAAATTCTGCCAGTGCATTTATGTACAGTGAGATAATCGGAGCCAGAGAGCAAAAGACAGAGGTCTAGGAGGCTGACTCATTTAAGGAATGAACAAAGAAGAGGGATTTGGTAAGCCTAACTGTATAAGTTAGGGTTGCCCAGAGAAACAGACCAATAGGCTGTATATACACAGACACATACAGTCATGTGTCCCTTAACGACAGGGATACATTCTGAGAAATAAGTCACTGAGGTTAGAGTACAATGGCACAATCACAGTTCACTGTAGCCTTGAATTCCTGGGCTCAAGCAATCTTCCTGCCTCCATCTCCCAAGTAGCTGGGACTACTCTTTGTGTACACCACCACATTCAAACACTTAAAAATTTTTCTTTTGTAGAGACAGGATCTCACTATGTTGCTCAGGCAGGTCTTGAACTCCTGGCCTCAAGCAATCCTCTTTTCTTCATCTCCCAAACTTTTGGGATTACGAGCATGTGCCACTGATCCCAGCCCTATTTCTTTACATACTTATTCTATAAGCATTTTTCTATTATTCAATTTTTTAATATTATTTTTTACTTTTAAAATTTCTTTGTTAAAAATGAGGACACAAACACACACATTAGCCTAGTCCTACACAGGGCCAGGATAATCAATACCACTGTCTTCCACCTCCACATCTTACCCCCCTGGAAGGTTTTCAGGGCCAACAACCAGCACAGAGCTGTCATCTCCTATGATTCCAATGCCACTTTCTAGATACCTCCTGAAGGACCCACCTGAGGCTGGTTTACAGTTAACTATGTTTCTAATAAGTAGAAAGAGTATACTCTAAAATAACAGTACAAAGTAAAGCATAGTAAATACATAAAGCAGTAACATAGCCCATTATTATCATGATCAAGTATTACTTAGTGTACATAATGGTATATGCTCTACTTCTATAAGACTGGCAGTGAAGTAGGTTTGTTTACGCAAAAATCACCAAACGTGAGGAAAGTGTTGCCCTACCCTGTTGAGATGCCTACCACATCACTCACTAGGCAATAGGAGTTTCTCAGCTTTATGATCACCTAATGGGACCACCGTCATCTACATAGTCTGTCATTGACCAAAACATCATCATGTGGCACATAGCTGTGTATATACGTATGCATATACACACATGCAGACACACACAGACACACACACACACACACACACACACAGACACACAAACACACACAGAGGTTTACTTTAAGAAATTGGTTCATATGATTTTTGAAGTCTGGCAAGTCCAAAATCTAGAGTACTCTAGCTGCAGATCCAGAGAAGAGTTGCTGCGGGAGTCCAAATGCAGTCTCCTGGAAGAATTCTCTTCCACTTGGGAGAGATCAGTCCTTTATCTACTAAGGTTTTAACTAATCGGATGAGGCCCACACACATTATGGACAGTAATTTGCTTTCATATTATTTTTTAAACCTTCCTAGAAACATCTAGAAGTATGTTTCAGCAAACACTGAAGACCACAGCCCAACCAAGTTGATGCATAAAATTAACTATAACAGAAACTGAGAAGAATTCAATAACGAAGACAGAGAAATTGGGACAGAGAGGTTTCACCAAGCTAAGAGAGGAAAGGATGTCAAGAAAAAAACCAAGTGGCCCAGAGATATTATGCAAGCTGTGAACCAAAAATATGCTACTGGACAAAGCAACAGGAAGTCATCCTGGTGGAATAAGTTTTTGGTTTCACAGAAGCTAGAAAGGCTGTTGAGAAGCTATAGGAGAGAACTTTGGAGACACTGTATGCTAATTATACCCACTAGAAATTGAGCTTTTGCACAGGAGAAGAGGTACACAGCGATGGCCAAAGGGCAAATAGGGTGATGAGGATCTGCTTTCTGCTATGAGACTTGGAAGGAAATAAAATAAACCTGCTAAGATTAACACCTTGGCTGATGATAGTAAAAGTGACTACAGCTCAACAAGTTAACACTCTAGGTGTAATTGCAATTTAATAGGGGTTCATAGAAACATGATACTCTCATCCTGAAGAGTGATTCTCTAATAGCAAAATTTCAGTGGAAATTGCAGGGACAGGGGCTATTTGGAATGCCTATTGATTTCATGTCAATAGAACAAAGCCACACAGTTAGCTGCCACATCTGCAAGGCAGGTGGGGTGAGAGATAGCCATAAAGCATACACAAGATTTTGTATTTTTTTTACCATTTTCTTAAATTATTTTTCATTACTGGTTAATATTTTATTCTGTAAAAAATGTATATTTTAATATTCATAAGCAAATTCTTCTGTTATTCAAAGTAATATTCTCATTTGTTTTGCATCTTGTTATAACTAACCTTTTCAGAAGGTCAACACAAGGTAGAGGGGAGAAGGTAGGAATAAAAAGCTTTAATGACTGGGAAAAAACATTGTCACGGGCAAGATCAAGTCTTAGTTTTTAATATTCAGGCCAGGCTTTCTTTTACAAAATCTATTCCAGTCTAAGATAAAAAATATACACCATGGATACACAATACCCACAAAAGTCTATCTCTTTCTTATGATGGCCAATTATTCTGATTTATATCACAGAGTAAATCATATGATCTATACATTGTTTTAAATTTCTTTGAAAGCCTTAACACCACTAAAAGGGGAAAAGTCTATAGTTTGAGACCCAGATCTTCATGCCATTAATAAATACAAAGTAGAAAATGTCTTCCATCCTATGATCTC